ATGGTATGTTATGTTATAATTTTATAAGGCACTTATTTATCCAAATTTTTTAGGTGATAATAAAAAAGATTCAATTTAAATGTTACTTGTTGTCGTAGTCGTTTTTTTCAAATTGATGGCTTTCTATTATAAAATCACATAACGCTGTTTGCAAGTGGACTACTCAATTCAATTCATATCAAAAAAGTTTTATGTTTGAAAAAAACAAAATCTGAGATTTTATGCATTTCAATAAAAAATTTCCAAATTTTGTTTCAATTTGCATACACTCCAACTTGCAAATTGCCTATCACCAATTTTTCTTTCAAGACGATATGCAAATTTTTGTTCAATTTCAACAGCTGATCGATCATAGCTTTGGGAAGTCAGTTTTTGTTCGCAGAAAATTGTGTGCTTAGTAAAATTTGGAAGAAACAAAGAAAACTTATACGTGTGAGCAAGTGAAAGCAATGTTTTCAACGTGTAAACGCAAAGTAAGTGAACAAATTTTAATACTCATTTTGATTGACTTTTCAAAACATTTTTGCCTACCAAAAGCTTCATCAAACCAACCAAACTACCAAAGGAAAATGAAGCTACCAATTTTGGTCCAATTGGACCAAAACGGCAACGCTGTCTGCGATTGGTTTGCAAAGCGAGTCATGACAAAGTGTAACTGGTAGCCTGCAAGGCATGAAGGTTCCTGCACGATTTTTTACCAGAACGACGGCACTAGCTAGGAGCACAGCATCATAAGGAGATACTGGGGCGCTAGGCGAAACAGATAACGATGCAGTCATAGCGTTGGATTGAACTGTAGCTGCAGACGAACTAGGGATGCAAAAAAACATCGATGGATCGGAAACATCGATGTTTGCTATTCGATGTATCGAGTAAAACCGATGTTTTGGACTTTCCGATATGCATCGATATATCTATGTATTTTTTGCGATGCATCGACTTTTTTGTACAATGTACACTACGGTGGTCCAAAAACAGTAAACTCGGAATTGTAATGCCCTCACCCCCTAGGATTATTCTATATCGAAAGAAGTACACCCTTATTTTTTATTTTGAAATCAAAAAATATTTAGATGTCGCTCCAACAAAGGCACGACCTTCTCCAATCTGTTTAATGGATGAAATCTCTTTTCTATGAAATTTAACGTGTTAACAAAGAACGTAGATAACAAGAAGGGACAACTCGTTATAATTGTGGCGAAAGTGCGCAAGAGGGGCGTGCCTTCTCTTTTGCCCTAGCGCGTTTTTTGATTGGATGAAAATAGAAGGATCTCCTACTAAAAGCGCTCGAAGTTTTCCATGCATTTTTATATGGGAAAAATAGAACTTTTCGTAGAAATGGAACGGAAAACTCTGGTTATCGTCAGGAGACTTTCAATTACATTACCCAATTGTTTATTTAACCATTTTAGTATTAAACTAACGATTTTTTATTGGTCGCCCGTTGCATTTTTCCGGTTTTTTGTAGGTTTTTGGCGGACCTATAAATTATAGTTGCGATCAAAAAATGGTTAAATAAACAAATGGGTATAATTATTGGGAATCTCCTGTAGATAAAAAGGTAGAAAAATATTGATTTTTAACTATTCTATACCGTTTCTACGAAAAGTTGTTTTTCCCCATATAAAATACATACACAACTTTGGGCGTTTTGAGCGACCTCTAAATATTTTTTGATTTCAAAATAAAAAATAAGGGTATACTCTTTTCGGTATAGAACAATCCTAGGGGTGAGAGCATAAAAATTCCGACTTGACTTTTTCCCCACAAGCATTTTTGGACCACCCTAATGTATACTGTACATACAAAATTCTATGCTTCCAAACTCTTCGCTCTAGTAACTATTCTAAATGTGTATTTTTCACTATATATGCACTATTAGAATATACATTCTATTAATATTATCCACTAATAAATTGCTACTTTATTTGTGGGGACGTTTAGTGCCGAGAGACCATCTATATATAAAATTGTAACAGGCCGATATCTGTACATTATAGAAATGTAAGAAAAACTGATATGGGAGGTCTTTATTAGAGCAATAGAAGCCAAATCAACCATTTTTAGAATTTGTATCTGTCTGTCTGTCTGTATGTTTGCACGCGCATCACTCGAAAACGAATGAAGGGAATTGAATGCGGTTTCCACGAATATATTGCTAGAGGTCTAACTTAAAATATAGAAAGAAAAAAGTGTGAGAGTTGCCACCTGTTTGAAAATTGCAGGTTAAGTAAATTGATAATAAAAGTGAATATTCCAATATATGCGTCAAAAGAAAGAGGCTTAAAAAGCCATACAGCCGAAAATATTTTTTGAGGGTTGCCACCTGTTTGAAAATTTTAATTTAATTCTTTTATAGGTCAAATTGAGTATTGCAATATGGGTATCAAAATGAAGAGGGTTGGGAAATTTTACTGCCGTAAGTACTTTTTAGGAGGGTTGCCACCTGTTTGAAAAATTTTATTGAATTAAATTGATAAATAAATGATAAAATTGTAGCGCGCCGCTGTCTCTACATGATATATATAAAAGAAAAATTAATATGGGGGGTCTTTACTAGAGCTACAGAACTCAAAATAACAATTTTTAGAATTTTGGTCTGTCTGTCTGTATATTTGTACGCGAATAACTCGAAAACTAATGCATGGAATCGAATTAAGTTTTCACCTATTTATCGCTAGAGGTCTAACTTACAATAGTAGAAAAGTAGAGAGTTGCCAGCTGTTTGAAAATTTCAATTTAAGTAAATTGGTACGCAAACCTGTTCGAAAACTTTTATTTAATTGAATTGATAATATAAATTAAATATTGCAATATTGGCATCAAACTAAAGAGGTTAGGAAATTTTAATGCCGAAAATATTTTTAGGGGATCTGACACCCGTTTTAAAAGTTTTATTAATTTAAATTGGTAAAATAAATGAAATATTGCAATACGGATTTTGAACTAAAGAGGTGTAGGAAGCTTACTTTCGAAAATATTTTTGAAGCGGGTTGCCACTTATTTGAAAACTTTAATTCTGTTAAATTTATAAGATAACCTTAATGTTGCAATGGGTATCAGACGAAAGTATTTGAGAATAATAAAATTCCAACAGGCCGATATCTGTACATAATAGATGTTAAAGAAAAACTAATAGGGGTTTATTAGATCAGCAGAAGCCAAATGTAAAATTTGTATAAGTTTGGTTTGTTTGTATGTATGTTTGTAAGGGCATCACGCAAAAACTAATGTATGGAATTAAATGCAGGTTTCACCGATCTACATCCCAGCAAAAAACACGATTACCACAGAAACGAAAGTGGAAACGAGCTAGGCGATGGGAATCGCTTGCCGTTTCGCTTCAAGAAGGCCTTATTTTAACATGGGCATGTCATTGGAGGTAAGCCCTTACCCGCAGCATTACCTTCAAACGAAGGGAGAACGCATGGATAAACAGAATCCAGAGAAGCGAACAAAGAATGCCTTACAGAGAAACTAATGTAGAATGCCTAGATAAGTACAAACTTATTTATATTAAATTGAAATCAGAAAATGTCTTAAAAGGTTAAAATTAATTAAAATTTTTATAAATCAGCGTACATATGT